AAGGCGACCCCGCCATACGCGCCAACTGCCGCGGAATCAGCCTTCTAAGCATAGGTTATAAGGTCTTATCGAGTGTATTGTGCGAAAGACTGAAGCCCACCGTCAACGAGCTGATTGGACCTTATCAGTGTGGCTTTAGGCCTGGAAAATCCACCATAGATCAGGTATTCACAATACGCCAAATCTTGGAAAAACCCGCGAGAATAGGATCGACACACACCATCTATTTGTCGATTTCAAAGCCGCTTTCGACAGTACGAAGAGAAGTTGCCTTTATGCCGCGATGTCTGAATTTGGTATCCCCGCGAAACTAATACGGCTGTGTAAAATGACGTTGAGCAATACCACCAGCTCCGTCAGAATAGGGAAGGACTTCTCCGAGCCGTTTGATACCACGTTTCAGACAAGGGGACTCCCTTTCGTGTGATTTATTTAATCTGATGTTGGAGAAGATAATAGGAGCCGCGGAACTGAACCGCTCAGGCACAATACTTTACAAGAGCGTACAATTGCTGGCGTATGCCGACGACATCGATATTATCGGTAAAAACAAGGGCTACGAGGACAAAACGAAGTATCTCCTGTCATCACACAAACAGTCAGAGCATACGCGTCTTGGCACCCACGTCACTGTTGACAGTTACAAGTTTGAAAAAGTAGACGACTTCGTTTATTTGGGAGCCAGCATTAACACCAATAATAATGTCAGCCTTGAAATCCAACGGAAATCACTCTTGCCAACAAGTGCTACTTTGGGCTGAGTAGGCAATGGAGAAGTAAAGTCGTCTCTCGTCGTACAAAGATCACACTCTATAAGTCACTCATCATGCCTGTGCTGGTGTATGGTGCGGAGGCATGGACAATGACAGCATCTGATGAGGCGGCTCTTGGACTTTTCAAGAGAAAGATTCTGCGAAAGATTTACGGACCTTTACGCGTTGGTGATGGCGAATATCGCAGACGATTTAACGATGAGCTGTATGAGCTTTACAACGATACACACATAGTGCAGCGAATTAAGATTCAGCGGCACCGCTGGCTTGGCCATGTCGTTCGAATGGACAGAAACGCTCCTGCTCTGAAAATATTCAACGCGGGCCGCGATGCTGGTAACAGAGGAAGGGAAAGGCCTTCTCTGCGTTGGAAAGACCAGGTGGAGAAGGACTTGGCTTCACCTGGCATTTCCAGCTGGCGTCAGTTAGCACAGAAGAGATATGACTGGCGTGCTGCTTTGGACTCAGCCAAAATCGCTTAGGCGTTTACAGCGCCAATAAAGAAGAAGAAGTTTGATTAAGTTTTTAAATTCTTAATTATAAAAATATATATTTCAAACATCATTTTGCATATAAATATTTGCCCTTTGAACATTTGCCAATCCTGCCATTAAAAATAAGAAACCTAATTGGTTTGGCCACTGATGGACCAATGTTATGGCTGGAGACTTAGGCGGGCTGAAAACATTATTGAGTGCAGAAACCGATTTATTTTATATAAAGTACACATGTCACTCACTTTACCTTTGCTCAAGCTACGCTTGTAAAAATTGCCGAAAAGCATTGAGACACTGCCACAACAAATATAGTTTCTTTTCCCACAGTTCAAAGAGGATACACGCACTGATGGAATTTCAGGACTAGTGTTCGGTAAAACCCCACAAAATCTTGGGCATATCTCAAACACGATGGCTTTCGCTAGAAGGCGTTGTGTTAAGAATAGTTGAGCAAAGGGATAGTTTGAAACTTTATTTTATTTCCTGCTTTTGTGAAGTAAACGGTATGCGATCTGCAGACCTGGTAGAAGGAATGTGTTGCAAAACCAAATGCTATTTTTTATTTCTATCGCAAATCTTGCCCATAATTAACAATCTTAACAAAGAGTTAACTTAACTTTATTCAAACATATGTGATCAGTAATAATATTAATATTGATTTTAAAAATGAAAATAATCATATTAAAATATCTGACATTTTTGTTGGAACGAAATATCTGACATTTTTGTCATGAGAAGTTCTGAAATTCTTGTAGTTAAAGCCTATATATTAAAGTTTTACATAAAGATTTTGAACCAAATAGTTGAAGATTTGATTTCAAGTGCGAAGATATAAAGCTTTTACAAATAATTACATCAGCTAATTTGGTTTTTAAAGATTTACCAATTTTACCTCTTTTGTAAAAGTTTCCCATCTCATAGTTTGCGATCCTGATATAAGAACCACGTAGAGGAACTTACTGAGGCTAAGTGAGCTTGATATTTCCACCGATCTGAATATTGATACGTTTTGGGAAAGAGTTTATTCTATTAAAAATGGAATGAATGAAAATTGCTTCATGCACCTCCCGATTTTTTTTAATATATTTTCATTACTACATAGCTCTGCGGCTGCAGAACGCAAATTTTCAGCGCTTTCTTTGATAAAAACTAAACTAAGAAATAAGCTTATCAATAGCATAATAATATGCAAGGAACTTGTGAACAAAAATGACCCGCACTATGTGTGGTCAGTTGCTAAAGATTCGCATGTGTGATTAATTGATTTAAATTTACTTTTAAGAAATTAAACTTATTGGTACATAACATGTATATATATAATTCGTTGTTTTTCATCTCTGTGAATAAGCCTGTACCTGCATTTATTTATTTCTTGCTTATTTTAAAATGTACAAACTACATAAATGTAATAGGGATGTTAATTTTTTCCGATCCCGGGATTTTCGGGATGGCGTTGTCACAATCCCGGGATCCCGGGATTAGTTCCCGGATTTAGATATTCATTACTTTTCAACAACTTGAATCGAAAAAAATGGCTTCTATATTGTTTGAGAAGCTCTCCTACCATGAAATAAATAATAAATATGTAAATGGGTTTGAAACCTACTTTTTTATTTAAAGTGTCGTTTTTATTTGTTCTCTCTGATCGCAGGATTTATTTTGATGGACTTTGTAATTTCAAAGATATGATTAATTCCAAAAAGTATTAAAAAATTCAATGCAATGTAGAATAAAAATATGGGTAAAAATGCAATAGAACATTTCTTTAGAATTTAAAAAATTAAAACTTTTTGGATTTACAAGGACAAATAGGTAATTTTTAAGCTGAAAAAGTTAGAAGAACGAAATTCGAGGATGTTATCGAGTTTAACATATAATTTTTTCAAAAACAAATATTGCGAAATTTCAAGGATAAAATTTTAAAATGACATTTTCAATACTTACCAGCCCTTCTGCACTAGAAACTTGAATCTGTTTAAATTCTACAGGATTTCCTAATTAATTTTATACCCATACTTCTTCTCTAAGCACATTTCGCCGAATTTTTTAAATCATTTTTGAATTACTGACGTCAGAGTGAAATACATAAACGCAATTTTACTATATTTGGCTCATGTTTTCGCGAATATATTGATATTTGCGTTTAAAATTTGCTATCGCTCGGTGTTATATGTATAATGAGCTAGATATTTATAAAAAAAAATATTAATTATTAAATAAAAAAAGAAATATAGCCAATACTGGTCAAGAAAAGGAGTTTCTAGTATTGCCATCAGTGCAAATTACAAATTCCGAAAATCCCGGGATTCTTCTCAAGTACCTTAAAGAGACCTTAAAAAGTCCGGGATCCCGGGATTAACATTCCTAATATGTATGTATGTATGTAAATGTTTTGTATTCGATACATCCCCTCAAATATATTCTGAGCGTTCAGAATATATGAGTCCGAAAGGAGTCCTAGGTAGCTAAGAAATATGAGTTTCAAAAACAAAAAATTGTTTACTCTTATATGAATCTTTTAGGATTCATATATGATCCAAGTTATGAGCCAGTACCTTGTGTAAAAACAACAAAGATTTGCAATTTATATCTAAACTTGTTTATACAGAAATTGAAAATAATTAGAAAAAAATGAACAAAATTTAGCTGCAGCTGCTGCTATTGAATGCATGTTGGAATGTATATATGCACGTAAGTATGTATGTATGTTATTTGAAAGGAATTTTTGCTGAATGCCTTTGTAAATATAGTGCGTTCAATAAGACTCAAAGAACAACCTAAAATAAGAGTCCGAATGTAGCAATTTATGAGGCCGATAAGAGCTTCAAAAAGAGTCTGAAATTATTCATATGTAAGTATATGAGGCCAAAAATTGTTTTAAAAGAGTCCAGCATGAGCCGTATATGAGGCCAATAAGAGTCCAATAAGACTGATATTGAGGCTCATTTGATGTATGAATTTAAGCTCATATAAGTCGGACCTTCGAAGGATGGGAAACACCCTCATATCGGACTCTTAAATGAGCTCATTACACTGTGAGACAAATGGTAGGGGTCAGTGATCGGGAAGGGTTCAAACTACCGGGGAAAGTTATATCGGTAAAAAAGAAGTTATACGTGTCCCGGCGTTTCGCTGGGTCACGTCTAGGAATCGAGATATATCGATTTGAAGTTAGTAACTATCATATAGGCGAAATTGTCACCTCTGGTGGTCTTTTTTTTGACTTAACTCGAGAACCACTAGTCCGATTTTGCTTAAAAAAATTAAAAAAAAAATTAAAAATTATAATTGCTTTAATCTGTTCATATAACGTTTTTCTATATAATCAACAGTTTTGCCGGTAAAAATAAATGTATGAAGAAAAAAAATATTTTTTGCCTAAAATATTAAATTTTTTATTTTTTAAATTCATAAAAAATCCAAAACGGAAAAAAGGCAAGACGTATTACTTTCACGCAAAGTCACATAATCTTTAAGCAAAATGAGACATAGATCATGAAAATCGATGGATGCGTTTCGCTTTTATTCACAATTAAGTGAAGGTATATCATTTTGACAAGAATATTGATTTTATGTTTCAATGAATTTGGATAATATATATTATATATTATTTATTATTAACACGCAAAATTAAAAATTATTACAGGTAATTATTAGGTTATTACATAGATACATAGGTTATAAAAATCGATGAATGCAAAACTTATTTTCGTTTGTTTGCGCCCTTTACTTTCATGCGTGGTGGTTCGCCCACTTGTTCAGAGTCTGTATCGGATGAGGATCTGTCTTCATCTGGAAAAAATCAATTGTTTTTAATCAGTCAGTTAACTTCATTTTTGTGACTTACCCTCGGAGGAAACTCCCATTGTATATTCTTTTTCTTCATCTTCATTGTCAGGATCGTACGTCTTTTGCGACCACCAACAAATTTCAGCCACCAGCGAATCGAGCCTTTTGCCTTTATATCGCGTTTCCATTGGCATTGCCACTTGATGGAAGCGCTCGCCATGTTCATCCGACTCTGAGGCTAGCTGCTTGCTGAAGTATTCGAGATGGTGATGCAAGAAGTGAATTTTGAGGGACATTGATTTTCATGATGTATGTCTCATTTTGTTCATAGGTTGTGTGACTTTACGTGGCCCTTTTTTCCGTTTCGGATTTTTTATGAATTAAAAAAAAAATTTTAATTTTTAGGCAAAAATAATTTTTTTCTCTTCATACATTTATTTTTACAGGCAAAACTGTTGAGTATATAGAAAAACGTTATATTAACAGATTAAAGGAATTGTAATTTTTATTTTTTTTTTATTTGTTTGAGCAAAATCGGACTAGTGGTTCTCGAGTTATGTCAAAAAAAAGACCACCAAAGGTAACAATTTCCCCTATATGATAGTTACTTACTTCAAATCGATATATCTCGATTCCTAGACGTGACCCAGCGAAACGCCGGGCCACGTATAACTTGTTTTTGACCGATATAACATTTCCCGTTGGTTTCATCCCATCCCGATTTTGACTGTCGCATAGTGTTATGAGCGTAATGGCTCCGAAATAGGACTCCTTAAAGACTCATTTATGACTCCAAATGTTTGCTGGGATTTAATCTTAAGTGAGATGTATGCTTTCAGAATGCTTTTTTATATCAGAGCGCACTTGTGCACAAGGGTATTATAACTTTGTTCACATAATGGTTGTTTGTAGCAGGCAAAACGAATCGAGATATAGACAAATGTATACATACATAATCAGAATGAAAAGATAAATCGGTTAAGCGGTGACTGTCTGTCCGTCCGTCTGGCCGTCTGTCCGTCTGTGCACACGATAACTCGAGTAAAAATTGAGATATCTTGACGAAACTTTGTAAGTGCACTTCTTTCGGGCGTAGGACGGATGGTATTGAAAATGGGAAAAATCGGACTATAACCACGCTTACCTCCCATATAACGGTAATTTTCGGAAATACGAAAACTGCGATATTTTAGTAACTACTGAAGATTATTCACTCAAAATTGATACTTACAATAATTTTTATACGAAAAATAAGTATATTATAAATTTTTGGAAAATGGGCGTCGCCACGCCCACTTATGGTTACATGTGTAAATCTTGGTAACCACTGCACCAATTTCTTCCAAACTTGGCACAGTTGTTAGGCTTGCTACAACATACCAAGTGGCCGAAAATTTTTAAAATTGGACAATAACCACGTCCACATCCCATATAACGGTAATTTGGAGAAATACGAAATCTTCGATAAATTAGTAAATATTAATAATTTAATCAAAATTGATGCTTGTAGCAATTCTTTAGCAAGAAATACGTTTATGATAAAATTTTGGAAAATCGGTGTGGCATCTCGGTAACCGTTCTACCAATTTGTACCAAACTCGGTATGGTTATTGTGCTTGGACATAAAAGCAAAACGCTTAAAATTATTGAAATCGGACTAAAATTGAGGCCGCTTTTCGTATAACGGTAAATTTCAGAAATGCTTGAAACTTCAATATTTCTAAATTTAAGGACGCTAATTTACTCATTACGTCTAACTGAACATACTATCGAAATTGTAAGAAATATGGGTGAAACCACTCGGTTTACCATGTAAAGGTATTTTTGGAAAGGTGAAAATCATGTATTAAATACTTGCGTCGGGTATTTAATGTTCGGCTCTGCCCGAACTTAGACTTTCTTATTTGTTGTAATTTAAATTTATTTGGTAGGTTGTAAACGATTTTGGTCGGATTTGGGAAGAAAATTGGTACGAAAAAAACTGTTAGTGGCAACGCTTATCGAAAGCCAAACCCCATCAGTGTGGGACTTTAACTCGAGCTAAAGTGTTTCAGAAAGGTTTACTGGACAATTTATTTGAAAAGTTGTCACCTATCCAAATTCCGAACTTAATGTTGAAAAGAATTTGTTATCAAACGAAGTGCTAAAACCCTTTGATCCAGAAAGGGTCGAAAATCTGTTGCCACTAAACTTAGTTATGTCTATATCTATACTAATGATATAAAGATAAATCTTCGCGAACGGCAGGTCCGATTTTCATGAAATTTTGTATACATTCAACAAATTTTATTGAGCTTGAGGCCGTTTTTAATGAAAAACTATTGTGGAACAGGGGTCAACTTATCAACCAATTTAAAAAATTTGCTATCAAAATTTTAAATTTTCGAATCAGATTTTTTAGAAAAGTTTTGAGCATGCATTTTTATAGCCAATTTAATTTCAGTATAATAAGGCTCAAGTTCGAACTTGTGCATTTTCTTCGATATAAAAATATAAGTATTTTAGAACATAAATAAATAAGTATTTTGTGTGGATGAAAATGCGAAACACGACCACACGAATTTTAAGGTACTTCAAACCATATATTGTATATTTAACTCCCAAGCATACTTTGACTATCCTTTTAAACTAAGTCCAATTA